CATTGCCTTAGCATGCTGGCCATATCGTAGACCATTTTTTCGAGCCGTTCTAGACGTTCGCTGTTTTTCTTGTTTTGTTGTTGTTATTCACGTTGTTGCGCCTGAAGCCACAAGAGAAATTGTTGCTGCTGCTGCACTTGCAGCTCTTGTTGCCATTTCAAAAACTGTTGTTGTTGTTCCAATAGAGATTGGACGTCAACTAGGTGCTGCTGCTGTGAGTTATTTCCAGTAGGTTTAGCTATCTGGACTTGCGCTTGAATGTTATGTATGCGACTCTGAACAGATGCATTTCCACTTCTTGCTACCGAGGCATAGGATAATCCACCTGTTCCGATTCTGGAAGTATTAGGAAGCGGTTGCGGTTGCTGGCGAGTGAGTTGGTTGTTGTTTTCGTTGTGGCTGTTGCGTCCTTGCTTGCTTCTTCTTGATCATTGAAGAGCCCATTGATCGTCTATAGAACTCCTGGTACCACCGGCAACCTTTGTAGCTTGCCATGTGGCTACCTCCACAGTGAATGCAGGTAGGCGATTCATCTTTTGAACGTGTGCATAGTTTGTGGTTTGTGGAATGGTCCCCGCCACAACGCGCACAGTTAGGATGTCGGCGGCAGTATTTGGCTGTATGTCCATAATCCTGGCAACGTGTACATATGACGATTTCAGAACTTTTGCGCATCCTTTCTACTCTCACCATTTGGCGGCAAAGTGTTTTTATATTATATACTTCATTAATTTTGTTGCATGGTTTGATATTTATAAAGAATATATTTAGTTTTTCATCCCTGTTTGTCCTTGATCTTGGGTTGTGTACTTGCAGAGCATCAAAACCATATTTTTTAAAACTGGCAATTATTTCTTTGTTCAAAGTGCTATGGTGAAGCCCCTTTACCACAATTCTGTAAGGTTTTTCTTCCTTCAGCTGATATGTATGGAACTCAATTCCTATTGTATCAAAATGACTTACAATAGCTCTGTAAGTGTCGCTGTCTTTTGGAAATATTCTTGCCGTAACTCCTTGGTTGACTTTGACTGCCACGTTGTCAATACTAGTGACTTCACTAATGACCTCAAATAGATCATTAAGATCAGTGATACTCTCAACAATTTGCGGTGGCTTTGGTGAGCGGATAGGCTGTTTGTTATTGCTCGGTTCCTCATGTTGAGGGTTGTTGACTGCATCAGTTGCATCAGACGTTGGGGGTGCTCTTGTGGTTTTGGAATTCACTTCATCATCGCTTTCGGAAGTAACATCCATGTCCGTGTCTAGTAAAGCAAATCTGTTGGAGGATTTTGCCATGTTAGCTGAAGCGGAGTGTGAGACCATATCTCTGTTTGCTCTTTTACAACTATTATGGGGAGAAAGAGGCTTCTTCCTCTTAGTTTTTAGCATTTTTTGGGCCGCCGCCAGTTTTGTAGCAGCTCCTGTGAGCTTTGGAACGTCAATTTTTGAGGAGGCAGTTGGGAAGCGGGCTGCATGACTAGTCATGCTTCCGCTAGGGATCGCGCTACAGATTGCAGAAGTTGCAGTGGTTGTTGTTGTCGTGCTGAGGTTCTGAGCGTCAGCACGTGATAGGCGTTGGTTATTATTAAACTCAGTCCTTAATTCCAACGGAGTTTTACCAGCTATTTGGTACATTCTTTCGTAATCAATCGGCTTGTTTCGAAGCTGAGTGTTTTTATCCATTTTGATTTATATAATGATAATATAATTTAGAATATGATGAATGTTTAGCCCAAACGGGCAACGAGTGCAGTTTTGTCTCAGTACACTTTTTTTTTTTTATCTGGCTGCCGACACTGCACAAGGCAGCGCCTAAAAAGTTTATGACTTGTGCTATTTTTAGCAAGCGAATTAGCAATAGTATTGGATCAGTGAGTTCTTTACAATGCGCGACGCGACCGATCTCGAAGAGCTTATCTTAGCAACACAAAATAATTTAAATAAAATAAAATATTTTACTCGTTTACTTTTTACTGTTGACAGTCTCACAGCCAACGTTCGACCATCATGATTTTCCTGTTCTTACTAGTTGTACTCTCTAGTATTTAATTAATCATTACCCTACCGACACCTAAAAGGCTTAAAATTGGAGTTTATAATATTTTAACGGTTCATATTTTAATATATAAATTATGTTATGATTATTTTAACCTATTCCAAGGCGTGGTAAGATGCAGTCTTTCTTCGTCGTCTATAAGTCTAAAAAGCTAATTATATGTTGTACCTACAATATTTAGAACAACTCTTTTATTTATTTATTAGGGTCTCACAGAATTCCTTTTTAAAGATATTAGGCTTATTTCATCTCATAATTTTTTCTTGACTGTGATGTTTAAATTTGAAATGAATAATTTGTAAATCTTCATATTTAAAGTAGGGTATTGCTATTTCTCCGTCTCTTCGTATGAACGCAAACCATTTCGCCATTATTAAGGCTACATACTTAAAATTTGAATGTATATATAATAATCTACGAAGATTATCTTATCTGATAATTTGATACATACTTAACCGGAGACCAAAAATATATAGTATATATATCTACAGCCATTGCAGGCTTGGAAAATCGGATAAAATTATCTTCCACAGTTTTACAGCTAAAGCCCCAAAATAATTTATTTTGTTTATTTTCTACAGATAGAAAAAAAACTATTAAGGAGGGTTTTTTGGGGTGACCGAGTAGAAAGAAACTTTATATGCGCAAGCTGTAGGCGGATCTTTTAAAAATAAATAACGGACGGACGGGTGGACAGACAAATAGTCGGAACTAAATCTGCTCAGTCCATCGACCTTTTCAAGAATTTGTAAGCTTTAGGGGGTGTGCCACGCCTCCTTTTGCCGGTTACGTACATTTAAACAAAACCATTATACCCTTATTTCAATTTTCAACCGCGACAAGAAAACAACGGAAAACAACAGTACATTCCCAAATTTTGCAACTGCTTTGAGCTGAGCATGCGAATACATACCAAAGTAAAACGCTTTTAAAATCTTATTTCTTTTCCTTTTCTTCACTTTATAATTGCTATTCAATTACAATTTAAAATACAATTGAAATTTTTTTATAGGAATGAATCTTTTGTAAATCTGTATTAAAAGGTGATTCTAACTAAATACTTACTTACATGGAATAATTGGATATAAGCTATGAGTAATCATAAATTGTTAGTAGAGTTAATTACTTACTCTCACCTAGAACGATATAAATAGTACAATATCGTTGTAACCGATCTCACTAAATTATGCAGAGTCGGTCATCTTAATATTAAATCGATAATCGCTTAACCATTATTTTTAAAGTTTGTATATATATATATATATATATATATATATATATATATATATAATATACATATATAAATATATTTAACCAAAATTAAATTGCACCATATGGAACCTAAATCTGGAAGTACATACATATAAAGTTAGAATGGTCAAATTAACTTTATAGTAGTTTATAGTTATATGGTACCTACCACTGTTTGTCTGTGTTTGACATAAATTATGTAAACAGAAAATTGTGACTTGTAATTTAATATTCGGTGTTTTAAAATAAAAACAAGTAAGAACGTTTCAGTGGGGCGGTTCTGGCTGCATTTGCAGTCTAAGCTCTGATAGTTCCAAAACTTTGAAAGATTGGTTTTTTTTTTTTTCCAATTTGGCACACCCTCAAGAGGCTTATTTAAAAATGTTGGTAGATGAATGGAGGAAGTCAACAGCAAATTTGTTGTTAACTTTTGAGTTTCTAACTGTAAAATTGTTGAATATACCATTTTTCCCGATTTGAGATTCTCTCAGTAAGCGTGGGCATATAATTTTTAGTCAATCATTAATAGTCTACACTAGCGTAACTGTATAATTTTGTAGGCTGAGGAACCAAAAATGTGTAAGTTATAGGGTATTTTATTATCTGAGTTATCATAACAAAATATTCTTTGCTTATATAAAACAAAATGTGTAGTCAAGAACTTCAAAATATGATTTAGCGAAACGTCACTTTTTATTTAATTGATGGATTCTTTGGCTTAATTCTACATCATAAATCTCTTCTGACCGATTAATCACAGCGTAAAACCCAGAATACTGACCACTTGCGCGACAGCTTCACTGTGGACAAGACATATGTTTTTAGGATTAGCATAATTGTAATATTAAAGTCTCAAGCGTCAATAAGTTGACAAGTTAAAGTATTTTGTAAAATTTCTTACCTACTTTTAGCCAGTTATTGATATATTGATATATAAACAGCTTTAGCTTGGTTAATAAATCTGCATAAATAATTGTTACTAGAAAGGCTATGGGAGAAACAATAATTCATTTTTACCCTTTGTGTATCGTAAGTGTAGCGACCCATCGTATCAGGTAAGAGATATCTGTAATGTGGAATCACTGTCAGCATATTGTTACTATATCATCATATGTCGTACAGCTTGTAAATATACCATAATATACCATAACGATTATGGTAATATAAGAATTTGTATCACTTGATTAGCTTCAGTAGTTTCAATGTTTGATTCATAAAGGAGATGAGCAAGAAGCATCAGATAGGTATAGTTAAAAAGTTTCCTTTCTTTAAAACTATCGACGTTCTTTCGAGAATCTAACTGTTCTCCCGAAATACACAGAGTTTCACATAAGTTTGTGTAGACATTAACTTAGCAAGTTAAGTGGTTGATAATTGATTGGCTTATATTGCACCTTAAATGGATAACGCCATTTGACACATTAAACTATTAATCAAAGAGCTTGACTATATGGAGGTCTTTTATATTACAAAACGTATTTCTATATAATTTTATATAATAAAAATAACAAATCCACATCCCACAAGCCGAAAGAGTTGCGCCCATAAAAACTTCTCTTATTCGCGATATTTATCATTATATTTCGAGTAAAGCATTACGCTAATAGTAAAGCCCAACTATTTATTTTGTTGAATGGGCAAAGCCAAGACTTGGGTTTGAAATAATAACATTGTATGATGGGATATTTTTTACCTATTGCTTAAAGTTGTCATATCCATTTTCTTTTTATCCAAGCCAGTTAATAATTCGTCTAGAGAATCCGAGCTTAATTCTGCTTTGGTCTGACCAACATGATTACCTATTTTATTATCTGCCAATATGCACGCTGCCTTTAAACGATCAGTTGCTATTAAAGATTTGGGAGGCGTTACCCTGCCAAAATAAAATTGGGCTGATTGATTGTCGATTCCGTCATCACTACATGAGCTATCATCACGTCCAATGTTGGTAAGTTGTTCACCTGCTGTCGTCAAATTTCGATTGCTTTCCATCAAACCTAGAAAAAATTTAAATTGCATTATATGAGTCGTTTCAAAAATAAGTAATAATATAAAACTAATAAAAGAGATAGCCAATAATAGTTGAAAAATCAAATGATTCTTGTGAATATAGCAATACTAACTATTTTTCGATAACTCACCTCAATACCGATAATAATCGAAAGTTTAACTTGATTTTACAAGGGTAGCTCGAAGACCACAAACAAATGAGATTTCCTGGGAATGCGATACATATTTTGAATATTTCGGATTATGGTGACTTCCTCCCATAGTTACCAAATTTAAAATAAACGACTATGAAAAGCTTAGTGTGGTGTGTTTAACTAGACCAATCTGGGTTTTTAAATATACTCCAGAGTTTCTATTAATGTATGTAAGTTAACACAACTGACCAGCCGAACATAAATATTCAAGCTGACCATGCATTCTCAGCATGAATGCTTACGACACCAGCCGTCTCACGCGGATATTGCACAACAACGGCGGAAGTGTCTACGCGCAACAGTGTTGCTGCCCAGCGATATATGATCCCTCGCCAGCGTTTTCAGGGCTTAGGGATAGCTTCGATTATAAGAATTATTGTCACTTAGAATTAGTTGATTTTTGGAAATAATAAACGTCGGTCGTCGCCACGGAATTATCCAAGTCTTCTCATTTGACGCAACATCGTTGTTTTATAATAAGTGTTAACACCTTTACTTTTTACGTGTTAATCCACCCTAATACCAGAATACAAAAATACAAAAACTGGCGCCCAACGTAATCGAAAAAAAACCGAATTCAATTAAACCAATATTCAACGAATAAATTTGAAAAAAAAAAAGACATTATAAATTATAAATAATACAAAACTTAGGCAAAAGTTCACCGAGGAAGCAGTTCATCAAAACAGCAGCTCTACTAACATAATATAAGAACATGTGAGTAGGGTGTTCAAAAAAAAAATTAATAAAAATTGTTAAAATCCAATTCAAATACAATTCCAACCTCTCAATTAAATTTTAATTATAAAAAAACACTACACATATATTATTTGCATGTTATAAGTGATAGTGAGATACAGGACTTAGTAATACAATTTCAAAGTATAGATACAGGTGAAAAAATAAAAATGTCTATCTAACGAACAGTCAAGAGCAATTGTAGAAGGCGCAGTTACAAGCGCTTTAAGAACCCTTGGATTTTGCACATAATAACCGGACGGTTGTTGTGTTGTCGTTGTATGTCGCTCGGATGTAGACTGCAGCTCCATATGTCTTTTCGGAGGCGTCAACAAATGTATGTATCTCTTTAGCTACTGGCATTTTTCCATCGAATATGTGTCGAGGAATTTTGATGTTATTAAGGCTTTGCAGGTCGTCGCGATATGTTTTCCAATCCCTTTGTAGGCTTGTGGATAGCTCCTCATCCCAATCCAGGTTTGATTCCCATAATTGTTGCATAAATATTTTGGCTCTTACCACCACTGGGGCAAATAGGCCTAGTGGGTCAAGTATTTTTAGTAATTTTAGTTGCTTCTGTTGCTTGAGCTGTCAGTTTTTGGACTCCATGTTAGACCCAATGTCTTGATGCTGTTGTCTTCTGCGTCATTCAGTTTTACCAGTGGTATTGTGTCTTCCTTTGAGATTCCTTGAAACAGTTTGTCATGGTTAGCGAACCATTTACGAAGTCTTAATCCTGCTGGTAGAAGTATTTTGTTGACTTCATCTCGAATTTTCATGGCTTCTGTTAATGAATCCGCTCCGGTTAGACAGTCATCGACATAGAAATCATTTTTCACTGTCTTTGCTCCTAATGGATATTGCAGCTTGTTAGCAGTTGCTAAATGCTCCAAGCATTTTGTTGCTAGAAACGGGGCTGACGTTGTGCCGTATGTGACAGTTTTTAACCTGTAGTATTTCAGTTCTTCCTGGGGTGAGTTTCTCTAAACTATCATCTGATGGAATTGGTCTGCCGGATTCATCCATATCTGACGATACATCTCTTCGATGTCGGCGGTAAAAACATATTTATGAGTCCTAAAACGCAGCAGAATTGACAACAGTTCACTTTGTACCGTCGGACCAGCGTACAAGATGTCATTTAGGGCCTTGCCGGATGACGATTTGGCAGAGGCGTCGAATACAACTCGTAGTTTCGTTGTACTGCTGTCCGGTTTCAATACACAGTGATGTGGAATGAAGTAATGAGAGCTTGGGATCTTCTGCGGTGTTATATCCTTCACGTGGCCAAGTCTTTCATATTCCTTCATGAACTCTACGTAATTGTCTTGTAGATCTGTATCACGGCAGAGCCTTTTTTCTAACGAAAGAATACGCCTTGTAGCCAACTCAGGAGACTCTCCCAGAGGAGAAACATCTTCAGAATATGGCAGTTTTACAATGAACCTTCCATCCATTGCCTTTTGTAGATTATTTTTGAAATGGATCTGCTGGGTCCGAAAAGGTTGTGCTGATTCCAACATGTCTAATTTCCAGAAACGTTCCAATAGATCGTCTGGAAACAAATGATGACATTTGTAGTTGCTACAGAGCAAGTAGCAGTTCTTGGAGCTGTGGTGCGCATTTTTCCAGCTACTATTCAGCCCAATTTGGAGTTTTTAATCATTAGGAATTTTGGGCTCCTTTTAATTTGCTCCGGCAGAATGAGCTCGAAATAGTGCTCTGCTCCGAGTAGTAGGTCAACCTTTCCAGGTTTCTCAAATGTTGGGTCCGCCAGTGGTAGATTGCTTGGTACCCACGATACGTCATTTAATTTGTGGGTTGGTTGATCCGCCACAATATTTGGTAATACGAATGCTTCTACGAGTGTCGTATAGTTTCCGTTCTTGGATTTGATGAGGATATTTACCCTAGACCTTTATGAATTTGAGTTTCCTCCGATGCCTTCAATTCGCATGTGTGAATTTTTGACTGCTAATGCTAATGTCTTTACGGCTCTTTCAGAAATCATAATGATTTGGGATCCTGAATCCAGAAGTGCTCTGAAGTCTCCGATTCGGCCGTTGGTTCCCTGTACTTCAACTCGAGCAGTAGCGAGTAGAACATAATTGTTTTTTGCAGTGTTTGCTGTAGCAGTTGTTTTCACGTCTGGTGTCTTCTCGAAGGGCAAAAATGTATTATGTTTTTTATTGCACTTCATGCAGATGCGTAAGAAACATGATTTTGCCATATGATTTGACCGCAGACAATTTAAGCAAAATTTTTGGCTTTGTGCCCATTTATAACGTGCGTCTACAGACTTAGACGCAAAGTTTTCATCGATAAATTCGATGATCTGGTGAGTTGCAGAATTGACAATTCTGATCCTTTTCGAATGCGGCAGATGCACATATTTTTTGCCTTTCCTTATGCGTTTATCCGTTTATCCGATGGCTTCCAACGCAAGGAATCTTTGTTCCAAGAAGATTAAGAACTCCTTAATTGGCTGCATTCTTTTAGTCTCCTTGATGGATTGCTCAAAAGAACATGAGTCATCCTGTCTAACTTATTTGCTAGTAGCACTTGCAAAAGTGCATCCCAATTGTTTGTGTTTACCTCAATGCTTCTTAGTGCAGCAAGCGTTTCTTTAACGTTGTCGTGAAAGTTCTTTATAGGTGATGCCTCGTTTGTTACTGACGGTTGATCCAGCAGTTTGTTCAGGATCGTTGTCGTCAGTACTCGCTTGTTGTCGAAGCGCTCCTTCAACATAGTCCAGGCGGTTGGTTGTAGTTGGATTCTGTCAACTCCAAATGTCTGAGCAGTCTTTCTGCATCTTCAGAGAGGTTTGTTTTTAAATACTACATATTTTGTATTGTTGGCAATATTGTTTCATGGATCATTTTCTTGAATAGATCATGAAACTGCTGCCATTTTAAATAGCATCCATCAAATTTTGGTATGGATACCTTTGACAGCTGCACTTGGGGATGCGTAGTTGAAGTAGTGACTGTTGGCTTCTCATCAGTTGGCGTGCCTTGGATTTGGAATATGGCTGTCTCTGCATTCAGGTAGTTTGACATATTGTACACAAGCGCGATTGGTTCTTCAAACATTCGGAAGATCTCAAAATGAATTTGGCTAATTTTTTCCCAAAATTCCTTTACCAGAGGCCTGAAGCGGGCCTGTGATTCTTGTGTAATCTGGTCAAGCATTCTTTTCAATGCTGCCAGTAGAGCAGCTTGTTGCCTTTGGAGAGGTAGCATTTCCAAACGTGCTGTCTCCATATGGTCAACTTCGATCAAATTTTCGGAAAATTCCTCTTGGTATTTTACAACAATCTCCTTGATTTTTGAGAAGTTATTTTCATTTGAATATGAATTCTCAATGGGATTCACAGCCATAAGGGTCCTTATTCCAGAGCTGACTTAAATGCGCAGCCTTATTTCGGAAGTATTTTGGATGTGACTTCCGTTCCTGAGTATCCTTTTTGTAGTTTCTAATAAGAACTTGGATCTCCTCACCAATCGAGGTCTGATTATGACTTAATCTTTCCATTTTATTTATTTCTTTATATTTTTTTTTTTAATGACAATGATATAAAGCTGACGAAGATGCCGCCTTGCCGCCAAATGACAAGATTGATGGGTTGATAGATCTGGGTGCCAGAGTTACCCGTTGATTTCGTCGTTGATCAATGTAGACAAATAGGGTTCGCCAAATGAATCCAATATTTTCCTTGAAGAGATTGGTCGTCAAGTTGACCAAGTGCTTGTGATTGTATTACAGAATGCTTGTAATAATCACGTCGGGGTCACCAAATGTTGTGTGTTTATTTCAGTCCTTGGTACAGAACCAAGACTAAGTATTTGTTTATGATCTTTATTGTAAGTCTCTAGAACAGAACCAGTGACTACGGGCGTCGCAACTAATACTTGAACCAGTTGGACAACGGAGATGAGTTGAATTAGAGAAGGGCGAGACACGGTGCTATATTTTCAAGTGCTAAATTCATACCGGTTTATTTTGTAAATTGTATGGCCTTATTTACAGTTTTCTTAGGTTCTAAGGATCA